AAGGTTCAACCAATAGCAAGTAGGGGTAGAAATTGGTAACTAATTGTTCAATGTTTAATTGAGAGACATAATTGCTAATTTTATTCTTAGATAGATTGTGAGAAGTTGTAGATAAATATTTTAGGACCCAACACAAGTCATCTAAAATAAGTAACTAGTCAACATTTCCCAGTGATGGCCAAAACGAGACTAGTTGTTTAAGTGCAACGACAACCTTAATTATTAACTATATTATTTACCCAACCCTGTGGTGTAAATAATATAATTAAATAATTAAATTCCCCCGTAAAACTTCAATTCGGGACAAGGTAAAAGAAGTTTAACGATGTGTTCAGAAAGTGTTCATTTGTGTATTTAACAAACAATATGTTTATGATTGAGTACTCATAATATATATCACAAACATAACTTAATTAATTTTCTGGACAGAACAATCTAAATAGAACAAACTTAACAATTAAAATCAATACAAATTAAAACATGATAAGAACAATTAATTAACCAATTTCTAGCCCCACATTTATTTAGCTATACATGTTTGGAAGCATAGAAATAGATGAATTCATGATTGAAGTACAAGATTTAATGAGATTAGGAAGATCAAACTTGTGATAGATGACAATCCTTGGAGCTTGGTGCTAATCTTGACTTAATCTTGAATGAGAAGGTGATTAATTGATGTTGAAGATTGGTTGATGATTTGGAGGTGAAGAATGAAGAGAGGATGAGGAAATGATTCTGGGAGGTGTAGAGAGAAGTTGGCTCGAGATTATGTGTGGAAGGAGATGGATTAAGCCTTATAATGATAAGATAATTAATCATTAATCTGCTGGAATTTACGAAAGTGAAGAGTATATGTATAAGAAAACGCAGGAAAGTTCCAACAGTGCATAACAGCCCAGCGGACGAAGTGTTTAAGCCTGTAGCAGAGGTTGCGGGTTTGATTCTGGTTTCGGACTTTTGTTCCATTTTTCTTTGATGTGGTCACAAGCAATATATAAACCGCTGGCTGATTGTGTACAACATTGAGAACTTAGCACACTGGTTCTAATAGGCATTCTTCCACCCTTTGTTTAGGGATTGAATCCCATCTCCACCATTTTTGTTTTTGCTTCTTTTCTTCAATTTACTCCATATTTGTTTTGAAGGAAATTCCACTTTTATTGACCTCCAGCTTGAACTTTTATTTTCTTCTTTTGTTCACACTCAAATGTATCCAAATAGCATCAAAAGTACCTGAAAATACAAAATACCCGTGTAGGACTGCACAAGTACAAACTAACGACAAATAATAAATATATGTACAAATGTAGAACTTTAATAACTAAAATTAACAACAAACTAAGCCTAAAAAGTGTGTAAAATATAAGTACATCAAATGTAACACGCTTGTTGTCACCCCAAACTCACCATTGATTTATTACCTTGATCCAAAAATATTTGAGCTTTAGTGTACATGTGACGTGCACTTTGTCGTGGTGTGCACTCAAAATAATATTCAATACAACAATTATACGTAGTATAAAGAAGTAAGGTTCGTATCCACAGGGAAAGGAATATTTCTCTTTTTAATTAACTAGTAACAAAATGGGGGGTTTAGGTTTGAGTGATTTAATTAACACTAAGATGAATGACTTAAATGAGTTTAATTAATGAGAAGAAGACTCGGCTTTGCTTTTATCCACTTGATGAAATGTTCGTCGATCCCGGTTATATCTTTAACTATCTTCCTCTCGAATACTCAATCGAGGAGTATATCCAGTTCATCGAGGGTAGTTATTAATAACGAGAAGCGTTCATTAATAAAACTTACTATCGAGTCAATATAGAACAAGCGCCGTATATTGAATTGATAGTAGCAATAAACTTAAGATGAAAACAATTGAGATTGATAACCTCAACACAAGCGGTTTATTGGTTTAATCAATATAATTAATTTCCCTTAGATTATTAACCATGAGATGCATGCATTAATAATCCAAGTTTACTACCATGAAAGGACCGAATTAATAACAAGCGTATTAATCGACCGATTCTAGTATTAATTAATATATGAAACAAAACTAGTTGATCCTTTAAGTAATGTTCAAATATTAATATGAAATATGAATAGGAATTAATTAATACTCAAGAAAGAATATTAAAGAAGATGAATCCTACTATAGTTAATATCAAGATGTTAACTAATTGTCATCTTAGTAACACTCCCCAATATTAACGTAGAGGAAGAAATAATTATTACTATAACTAATGTCAAGATGTTAACTAATTGTCATCTTAGTAACACTCCCCAACATTGATATAGAAATAGTATTTAAAAGAAGAATTAATATTCAAGGAAGAAGATTAAAGAGAATAACTCACAACTTACAAATTCATTAAGCTTCAAAGTAGCAAAACCAAGATGGAAGAGTTTAGTTCTTCATTTGGAGACTAAACATACTATAAAAATATAAAAGAAATACTATTCTAAACTGAGCTTAAGAGTATGGAAGAAGGGATGCTTAAAAGTGAAGGAAAATGGGGCTATTTATAGGTGTTTTGAAGGTGCTGCACCGGATACCCGGCCGGGTATTTGAGATACCCGACCGGGTATTTGTCAAAATCAAATATTTTGCCCACGATTTTGTGTTTTCTGCACGTCTTTTTGTTCGGGTCACTTCATACCCGACCGGGTAAAGGCTATACCCGACCGGGTAAGTCACCAAATCACATTTCTTGCATGATTTCTTGTTCCCTTGCATTTTCCTTTGATCTTGTAAGATCCCTTCCATGATCCTTTGTTGATTCTTGATTGTTTCTTGCTCAAGATGATTCTAAATTTACTAAATTACAACAAACTAGAAAAATAAAATGATTGCACCTTAAATGTGCAATTACCACAACAACACACCATAAAAAGTAATTAAAAGTAAAAATATAAACACTCAAAAATCAATGCAATCAACATGTTATGATCTCAAAAAATTATCATGCGCTTTGTTTATGCACCTGGTAAACCATTAAAAATCTTTTGGAGAAACTCGAGAAAAACCTGCATCTTTTTTTTTTTTTATCGAAGGGGCTTATATTGATAAAATAGCATTCAAATAGGGTTTGAAATAACAAAAGGACCACATGTAATCATCCGCCCTTGGATCAGACTCAGAGTTAATCACCTTTGACAAAACAATATAATTCGTTGATCCTAACTTGCACATAATTAAGCCAACGACGATTACCGCAGACTTATCATCACCCATTCATAATGCAAAAGTCTTACAGCATAAAAAACAAAAAAAAACACAACAGTCCGAGCGGGGAAATAAAAATACAAAAACACAATAAAAAAGACACCAAAGCTGCATCACCGGCGGTTGTAGAAGTCCTGACCTGCTGCCTCCCAATTTTTTGATTTGTCAAGTGACATGCCCTCACCAGCTGCATCCCCTTTTGATTGGTCTTCCCAAATCCTCTTGCGTTTCGCTTCCCCTGGAACCTCCACAGTGTCACCTATTCCACCTGTCTTTGACACGCTGTTTCCTATTTCTGCTGAAGACTCACGTTGATCCTGTGCCCCTATTCCTTCACTCTCTAGATTTGTCTTCCGCTGTATCCTGGCACCCCCTGAGCTTGAGGAATTATCCACTAACCACTTATTAGTCCTTGTTGAGCTAGTCTTCCCCCCTCCACCAGCCTGGAGCTCAACCCTAAACGTTTTCTCCAGCACAATACCTTCCTCATATTTCAAGGGACAAAATTTATCCGCATGTCCAATCACCCCACACAAGAAGCGGAAATTAGGCAGTTTTTCATATTTAAAATCTACCCAATGTCCAATTCCCTCTTTTTTTAAAACTAGTTCCCCCTTCTTTAGAGGTTTTCTCACATCCATGCACACCGGCCCTTATTCTCATGTAAGATTTCCATTTTTCCTCAAACTGGTTTTTATCAAAACTTATAAATGAGCCAATAAAGTTCCCAATTCTCCTAGCAGAGCCCAGATTCCTGAATTTAAAAGGTACATTGTGTACCTATACCCAGAATTCAGACTCACAAAAAACATCTTTTCGGGTATATCATCTGGCTGAACTGCTTTTAAAATTAGTAAATCTCTCTCAAACCACCAAGGACCATCCTCAAGCACACAATTCATATCCACAATATGATAGAAAGTAAAAATGTATTTTTCATCTCCAATTTCTTTAATGGAAACCCCTTTTCCCGGGCGCCAAATTGAAGCCAAAAGGTCTTTGAATACCTGAAATTTGATCTTTCTATCCGACAGCATGATGCCGACCACTGGAAACTCCATGCTTTCCTTGGTTGCATCAACCTCTCCGGCTTCCTCGTCATCAAAATTGACTTCATTATCTTCCTCACCAATAGCCACCTTCTTATAGTTATGCACTATGTCATCCATTGAAAAACTCCTTCGGATTCGATCCATGCTCTTTGTTTGTTTTGGATCTTCGACGGAATTCCGCCCTTCTTCTTTTCTCCCGTTGGATCTTCGACGGAATCACCTGCAGCAAGCCACGATCGCTGAAGATTGCTACTGCCTTCTGTGCGTTGTTCTTCGATGAAAGTCAAAAACGGAAAACAAACCTCTAGCGACTAAGCCCTAGAGAGAGATTAGCGGAAAAACATGCATCTTAAAAAATGTGATTCTTGTATCAAGAATTTAAAATCCTTTCTTAAAAGCTTAGAACATCTCCAATGCTAAAATGTGAATAGTGCATACGTGGCATGAGAGATATCCAATTAAAAAATAATAAAAAGAATATCTCTCTCCTTATTTGAAGGATCTTGTATCATTTTGGTAAGTTTTTCTTCACAATGTCAGACACAATGTCTAGATGTAGATATTGTGCTTGACATTGCAGGGGGAACTTACCAAAAACACATAAAACCATGGAAAGAATGTGGGAGAAATGTCATAGATTCAATTTTTTGTGTCTATCTCTCTCATGCCACATATGCACCGTACACATTGTAGCATTGGAGATGCTATTAAAGGATTTGAACATTAAAGTCAATTTGCTTAACATTCATTGAGACCACCACTCTCGAAGTCAGTATGCTCATCAATGTAAATTTTTTGTTGGAGTTTAATCGACTCTTATACATTTGAACTCTTATAGAATATAGCTTGTACCGCAATTCTGCCGAGTACAAAATGGACCAAATAAGAAGATATTACAGACAAGATATAGACAGGCAACAAAAAAAAAAGCCAAGATGACAGGCCACTATTACAGTCATTCGAGCGCATTTTTCTTGCAAACGCTGGAGAAGTTTGGGATCCTATCAATGTGCTTCAGAGCACGCTCAGCAATCTGACGTGTTATCAAGTCGCCGTGCTGGAAAGCATCCACCAGAGCCGTGGTTGTGTTTGGATCGCCCGCAACCCTAGACGCCAACTCCTCTGTCCTTACAAGTCTTTCAACCGCCCAAACCGCTCTTCTCCTCAAGTTCTCTGTACGCTTCTCAAGCAACACGGCTACTATGGGCCCAAACCCTTCTGCCTCACATATCATCTCCACCCCCTTGACAACATCAACCCCGTCATCTAAAAGTGTTGAAAGGGCTGCGAGTGATGCCTCAACCACTCCCTCATTTATGTGGTCTAGAAGGGCGACCAGCTTCTGAACCGCCCGCCCTTCCACAAGGCAGAACGTTTCTTTTAACGAACAAATCCCGTGATGGACCCCGCAAAGCCCGGTCATCAAGGGACGATTGTTGCTCAAACAAGGGAAGAAGACCGTTACAAAAAAACTAGGCTTGGGCAACTCGGGCAGTTTTGTCAACTTTTTAGATTCCTTGGATAGATTCTCCAAAGCCGAGGCAGATGCCATTTGGACGTAGTCAAGGCCATTGGTTTGTAGAAGTTCAATGAAAAGGGAAGCGACGTTGTATTCCCTACAAAAGGAGAGAATGTCAGGATCGGTGGACACGGCAAAAGTGAATCTTGCAAGAATCTTCACAAGCCCTTCAAAATAGGGGGTCACGAAGCGGGACCCTCTCGTCTCTCCTTGCCTGATGCCGAGTATTCTCATGATGACTAGCTGGAAGAGTTTCTCATCAAACATCAACTTTGTTATCCCGCTGTCTCTCTCTGGGAGATCAGCCAAGAACCTGACAGCTGCCGCCTGTTCTTCAGATATAGTTCCAAAACCCTCGGATATAATCCTGATTACGCTCCCGAGCTGATTGGATGAGCCACGTAAGCAACTGGCAAGCTCCTGACCCATGTGTGGGCAAAGATTCTGGAGAAGCTTTATGGAAGCCAACCTAAGATCCTTCTGGATAGCTTCAATGAACTGAACCAAACTGAGAATAGCTCCAGAGTTTTTAACGGTGGAAACGACACTAGACACAGTGGCGGGGGAGTTGGTGAGACCCACGAGTACCTGTAGGAGCTTGCACTCTATCGCGGGTCCAGTGTTGTTGATCAGGTGGAGAAAGTTATGGACCACGTCTTCTGATAGCAAAGTTCGATGCTCGCCGCCGCCGGGACCCACCGGGACGGAATGGAAGTCACAACCGGAGTTGACAACATTTGCCAAAATAGTTGCGGAGATTTCTTTTAGCCTCATTGGAGGGGCATCGGTGCCGACGCTGAAGAGGTCCTTGATGAGCGGGGGGAGAATGCCCGACCCGACTAAGATCTTGGCACTGACCTCGTATGAAGAGATCCTGTTCAGAGCTTTCAGGCCGACCTCCTTGCCTTGCATGGTGCCATGTTCCATGATGTCGATGAGTGAAGAACCCGCGGTCTTAGCTACCAAGACTTTCACCTCATTGTCAAGCACCAGCTCACCCAGAAATGCAGCCATTGAAAGCTTTGTTTCTGTTGATCCTGAAATTAAATAAAGGAAACTGTTTCACACTCGAGACAATTTACCCCCACATGTTACCATCACCACCATCATCATCATTATCACCATTATCATATAATAACAAGAGATAGACTCCCTAAAGTTATAGCATGCATATAGGTTTTAACAGTTGAGAACTTGAGACTAACTTATTCCAGATATTTATACATGAGATAGGTATGTTGATTTGTGGCTTATCCAATGTTAGTTCTGTATATCAAATAAATTAGAAACTTAATCTGAGAGTACTCATTGTCCACATTATCTAGCCAGGCCAGCATGGTGAGATCTCACATATCACCCCAACTAACCAACTACATAAGAGATAGGTTCGGGGGACTCACACTCCAGTTCTAGAATGATGGTGTTGGGTTTGTTTAAAAGTTCGATTGATTGATTTTAAACTTAAAAGAAACAAACATGTACCAAAAGGATAAGATTTGAATGTATTATGTATTCCTTTTGGATGGATCCATCCAATCATCCATGTATTACACATTTGAACAAATTGAGATATAGGGGGCATCACCTTCTAGAAGCACAGTCAATAGAGATTGTAATCTACCATTTTCTGCCATTTGCATCACATTACGTTCGCACTTGCCAAGATTATCCAGTGTTTTCTCTGCTTTCTCAACTGTCAAAAGATTCTCTGATTTGCTACTTGCCAGCCCAACTAGGATAAGAACTGCTCCGTTGACCAACCCAACCTTTTCACATAAAGTCTCAGATTTTGATAGCTCAAATAACAAAGATGCAGCTTCCTCTCTGTCTTTTGATTCTTCATGTGATAAGAATTTCACTATTGTGCGCACTGTATCACCCTCCGCCAATATTTCCTGAAAACTAAAAAAATAATCAATGTAAATCACTGGAACAACAATCACCATCTTAAACCAACAGATTTTTTCTCCTTTTTATATGTATAAAGATGGGCTTAAATATGTTTTCCATCTTTGAAAACATCATGTTCTTTTTCTTTTGTTGTAGGTCATTGTTAAAAAAAAGCAACTAAAAAACTTTTGTTTTTCATCTTTCTTGGTTACCACTTTTTATTTTTTAATCCATCTGCATCAACCTCCATTTAGAAAATGAAAATTAGTGGGGTTCACAGAACTACTACAGACCGTGATTTCCACATATGAACATTCCCATATGCAAATTCTGATCCATGATAAACATCCGTACTCCAGTGGATTTCTCCATCTGAATCAGAATAAATATTTTTATGCACCTTCTCTTTAAAATGTAAAAAGGCTTGATTATGTTTTGATCCCTGTGAATATTATAAAAGCGTTTTCCAAGGGAAGTACTCCAGTTTGGGCTTCCCACATTATATATAAGCAAGAGAGAAAAGCATATTTAGACATTCCAAAAGACTTGCCTGGAACGTCCAGGTTTGAGTCTATGAGTTAACTGAGAGGGATTAAGAATAAAGTGAGATGAACTACAGTGATGGATAAAAAATAAAAACTACAGGGATCTAAATACAAAACTATATTTGTAGGGGTGAAGAGTAAAGAAAAAATACACTCCCTCCGTCCCGAGTAAAGGTTCCCACGCGGTTTATGATGTTTGACTGACCATAAAGTTAACTGATCCCTGTCAGTAATAAGATTATTTTTAGTAAATATAATTTACATATTCAGAAACTACATTAAAAGTTCAATACAATCGCAAAAAAAATAAAAAAATAAAATTTGATAAAAGTTGGATATATAAAGTAAAAGATTAAGAACAATTTATGTTGACCAGAGAATAGGGGATGGGAACCTTTATTGGGATGGAGGTGGTATTTATTAATCCATTTTAAAGGGGATTAACATTTGAATTTTGACGACCTTATTATCAGCATCATCCTCGACCACAAGTCTAAGGGTTTCCAAAGCCTCACACCTAACCAAACGGCTGCTGCTTCTTAGCATGTCAATAACCATTGGTATAAGCCCGGTATCTCGAATCACAATCCTATTGGACCGAATTTTCTGACAGTAAATCTTGAGAAACCGGAGTGCTCTAAGAATCTCGCTTTCTCTGCTTCCCACAGAGAGTAATCTTTTGGCAGTATCAAGCTGAGTGGCCTTGTTCCTTGCACTCCATTCTTCAATTGTGTTCCTCAAAGCTATGCTTGGGTTAAGATCTAAGCTTCTTAACTCACTTTGGGTTATAGGGCAAACTGGAATTCTCCCGTTATCCTTACACTCTTTGAACCATCTCTCGACCGCTGCCCTCTCGAATGTTTGCCCGTTTTCAAGGCTTACCGGATCATGCATCACTTGCTTTGTTAGGGGGCATATGAAAGAATCATATATGGGTTCTATGTGTAGTCTCTCCAAATCGTAGCTTTCATCTGATTCACTACCAAGCTCATGAGCCTCATCCCAACTCTTTGCCATCTAGACATATACCTGATAAAATAAGCCAAACGGTACCAAACTTTAATATCCGGTTTAGTATGGCCTCAAATGGTTGAAACTTCTAATTATTTTTAAATGTTTTTTTAATTTGAATTAAATGAATATATCATAAAATGAAGGATGATCTGCCACTTTCGTCAATTTCAGCAATTTAAACAAAAAAATAATATTGCTCTACTTTTCTTCATTATCAACTACTGCAATGAACAAAGTTTGTGTTTGGTAACAAAAAAACTGCTGGGTAAAGATAATAGCAAAAAAAAATGTCAATCAAACTGGAACTAAAAGCGTGACAAAAACAACCCCGATCAATGGCAAACCCTAAACGTATACATACACAAGAGTACAATTTTTTAATATAATTGTTCCTAATTCACATATAAACGTTAAAGTGAAATTGCACATATGGTCCCTCATTTGTTCCGCATTTTTTCGGTAAATGTCGCCCCTTAATTGTAACATTTTGTAAATGTAACCTTTGTTATTAATAATTTAACAAACTTTTTTTCTACATTATATACAGCAAAGACTATGTTTACAACATGTTGTACAATTAACGAACACAACATTTGCAACATGTTTCACAGTTAAGGACGGCATTTTCACAAACATTAAACTGAGTTTGTTGCATTATTAACGGCACGAACTATATTGCACAATAAAGGGAAAACATTTTCAAAAATAAAAAGACATGAACTAATAAAATTCATAATGCAGAATAAGTGAGAGTCTGAATGAGAATAAAATGTAACCATACACTTTGAAATGTTGATATAAATAAGAAGTCATCAACACTCACTCCAACATATGCTGAAACATTTGCAACATATTCTAATTTGACATATCAATAGAAATTCTATTGAAATGAGAGAAAATCTTTATTTCAAAGTAGTTGGGATCTCAACTAATTCTTTTTTCCCCAAACAAATTTGCATAACATATTAGCAATCATTACCCTTTGTCCTATCATGTGAATTCATCAATATATGCCACAATCAGGCATCAATAGAATGAGTCACAGTAGCTCTCACACCTTAAAGGGTATTTTTGTCAAATTCAAAACAGCCACTAAACATTTTCCTAACCATGGCTTAATTCTTTCCAAATTCCTCACACTTAAATCTAGCTGGTTCACTAGCTGATGCATATTGCAGAAGACCGACTAAAATCTACAACATATTTCCGGGACAATGGCAATCTTTGTGGAGGCGCAAGGGGCCATGGCTCCCCCAGAAAAAAAATGTCATATGCATAGAAATTAATTTGGCGCAGGAAAATAAATAAACTTATCTCGGCCCCCAACATTGTAGATTCCCCCAATGTTTAGGGAAGACAAGAAATTTAAAAAAAATGACATATGAACTTGATAATGATTTGGTTAATCCAATCACAATAAGTCAGGCTCAGATATAACTCTGAGAAGAAAGAACAAGAAATTAGAGCATGACCGTGGTTTGTATTGGGGTGGAGGGTGGCGATCAACTTATCCCGGCGGACAATTATTGATAGACTCAGGGAATAATTGGGAAGTTCAAAAGTTGCATCAATGTTCCTCCTTTCTGGAGCTGGGCAGCTTTCGTCGTTCCTTCATTGCTTTCAACTAGGGTTTTTAAATTTTTAAAAAAGCAAAAGAAAGAAATAAGCTGACACGAAGGTAAAAGTTCTTCGATCTCAAAAAACGAGTGTTATTTCACTGATTATACGGTGGGATAGGAGCTCCGGCCTCCGATGGGACAACCCGTGCAGCAGAGGCGTGCAAGTGTATGCACAAAAATATGACTTTTCTCGTTTTTTAGCCCAAGGTGAGCATGTTGTTCCAACGTCTAAAACACGCGTAAACGGCTGAAGTGAAAAAATGTAACTCACACTAGTAAAAAAGGTAACTAAACACAAGTTAAAATATAGCTTGTGCAATACGAGTATAAGAAATAAAAACATTAATTTCTGTCACCCCAATAATAAGCCTTGAAGCCTTTTGGCGAGATGAGGACTACGCCACTCCCACATGCTCTAGACGTCAAGGAGCCATCAGTGTAGAGCGTCCATGTGTCGTTGTTGTTGGCCTCCGAGGTGGTAGGGGTGGCTTCCCTCGTGGTGCACTCTGTTACAAAATCTGCAAGTGTTTGACCCTTATGGATGACCTCGACTTGATCTCAATCTGATATTGACTTAGGAAAATTTCCCATTTGACCATTCTTGGGGAACTGGTGGGGCTTATCATCAATGTGCTGAGGGGCTACGGAATGAGGACGTGGACGGGGTGTGCCTAGAAGTAATGCGTGAGTTTCTTCACCGTCCAAACGATAGCGAGCACTATTCTTTCGATGGGAGAATATCTCAGTTCAGCATCCCTCGGTGTTTTGTTGACATAGAAAATAATGGATTGTGTCCCCTCGTCTTCTCGGATGAGCACTGAGTTGATGGTCGCGGTGCTAAGTCCGAGGTATAGAAACAGCGTCTTCACGGTTCCCGGTTACACGTTTTGAGAGGAGTGGGGGAGGAGCGAGGTATTTATTGAGATCCTAGAAAGCTCACTTGTAACACCGTCCCCAAGTATATTTACTTTTTACTAAAGTATGTATTGAACCTTGAGAAATGGTTAATGAATTTACGAGGTTGTAAATTTTTGTTATTTATTTTGTGTGATTAGTAAAATGCACGCGGGGCCCACATTGAGAGCGAGGACCACCCAATATATTCGAGACCACGCATTATATTCATCCTGGTCTAGATAATATTTATATGATGATGTATACTCATGTTGGGCCATATAAAAGGCATATAGTTGGCCGGTTGATCAAACGAGGCCCATATACCGGTATTGGTATTTCGGCAGACAACAACCTGTGATAAATTACGGGGACAACTAAATCAAAGTTAGGGAATGTATATTCATTCTAGAGGCACATAATAGTTGAGAGAATATTATACATTTGATTTGGCCCGGTAAAATGAAATTTAATTAAGACATTCCGAGAAATACAACTTTCAGGGCCGAATGTACAGTTCGGAACATATTGAGATGACCTCCCCCATGAGTGGATGTCACCGCCCGTTTTTGTGTGCTCAAAGTTGATTTGAGGGTTGGGATACATGGGAGTGATGCCTTGGATGTATGAAGAGATGGCTGAGACACAACTGATGAGTAAAGGGACCTCCTTTACATTATTTTTAATGTATTGACAAAGGAAATATCCCCTCCCTCACACACTCCTAGCCTAGCTCGTCTAAGACACCAAGAAAGAGGGAAGGGAGCTCTCCAAACACCTAAATCCATAGAAAATTTCGAGCTCAAGCAAGGAAGGTCCAAAAGGGGGGTTTCAAGAAGGGAAAAGTGAGGGAATATGTGAAGGGTTAAGGTAATGACCTTATAACAACTGTTTCTCTACTCATCATTGATCATATGACTTAAATATCATATGAAGAACCCCTAGCATTGTTCTACATGTTTAGAAGTGTAGAATGAGGGGTTGAAAGGAAGTTCCTTTAAGCCCAAGAACGGACATAGAAGCCAAAGTGATCGGTTTGCTGGAATATAGGTTTTGGGATGTTAAAATCTTGTTAGGAACTTTTCTAAGGTGTTCCTAGTGCTCTCATGAAGATGAGATAGTCGTCGTAGGTATCGCCAGAGTTCAATGAAGTTCGCCAGAGTTTCACCGGAGTTCAATCGAAGAGGGTGAAACTTATTAAGGCTCATTCGAGGTGAGTTGATGGCTTAATATCTTATAACTCGTGGATTAAGTATGAAATTACCTAAAGAAATGTTATAAGTAAGCAAGCAAGCAAGCAAGCAAGTAAAATTACATGAATATGCATGTAAAAGGTATAAAATATATATAAACACATATGTGATGTTTTGAATGGCCAAAATGACATATTTGGATTGTTTATGACTTCATACATATTGTGTATAAGTTTTGGAGCAATCGGAGTACGTTCAGGGGGTCAACGGGTCGTTGAAGCGGGTCAGGCAGTAGATTGGTGCCAACCAAGGGCCGGAACCGGTGCCGATTTGGCCATTGCCAGCCGATTCCAAGCAACAATGCAGTCAACCAGCTTTTGTAAGGCAGTGAACCGGCGTCGGTTCGGTCTCGGGTTTCAGGATCGGTTTTTTATAAAATGCAAATTGAGGTTTGATTCAAGGTAGAACCGACTCCGCCATCCTATATATGTAAATTTTGCATGGTATTGCATGGAATTTGAAGTTTAAATGCTAAGGCTTGATATATGATGATTAAATGCTAAGGTTTGGATTAGTTATTTGTAATGATATGATATATACCCTATCTAAGTATGATATGTGGTAGATCATAGGAAATGGTGGAGTACCCAGGGATTGGACTGTCCTCAAAACTCGGTATATAATTGGTGGAGAACCCAGGAACTGGACTGTCCTCAAAACTCGGTTTATAGTTGATGGAGTACCCAAGGACTAGATTGTCCTCAAAACTCGAAATATAATTGGTGGAGTACCCAAGGACTGGACTGTCCTCAAACTTGGAATGTAATCGGTGGAGTACCCAGGGACTGGATTGTCCTCAAAACTCATAGGCTACGGTTTAGTAACTTAGGACCGAGCGGTGTTCTTAAGGTGTTTGTTTGAACAATGAGGAGTCCTATACACTCGTGGGCATTTGAGTGGGTTTAGGTTTTTATAAGTTAAGGAATAAGGACTATGACTAGTATGATTTCCCAAATAAACAATGACCTACGGTTCAGGTATTTTTGAAGTTTATATAATCATATGTATTTCAAGACTTGAGGGAAAAGTATAAGTGTGTGTATCACCCTATGTTTGGGTCTTATACTTGAAACGTTACTTATTTTACATTTAGTCTGCTTCTCGTCAGTGCAAGTTGTACTGACCCCTTCGGGGCCATACCATTTTCATGTTGAAGCTAGGGCTTGCTGCATGCACCTTCGTACGGGTGAAGTCAACTCAAGGAAGACGTGGTTCTTTCTTTCTTATTTTCTTAAAACTACAAACACTTGCTCATGGATATATGAATTACAACTCACAACAACAACAAAAAAAAACCTCTCCCTTCTCTCTAAACCCCCATAACCCCACCCACCGCCCAAGGTAGCCATGGCAGCCACCACCCAAACCTCTAACCCACCCATGGAGGTTCCCGGCAAGATGGCAGCTACACCCACCACTAGTCCGGCTAGACCTCCTAAATACCCCATTCCTCCGCAAAAACATATCCCACAGTCCAGCAAACTCGTAACCAACTTCGACAGTAGAAACTTTTGGTGACCAGTTACTTCCGGCAACACTACATCGGCGGGAAATGTTAAAACCACAACGTATAAATCATTTGCAGAGGTCACAAAGTCCAAGCCTGACAACCCCTCCAAACCTGCTGCTGGACGTTTTGACTCTCCGCCACAATCTTATGCTGGAGTGGTCAACCGCTCAAATGCTCCAATTGTTCCACTAAAAGCTCCGACAACCTTCAAGGGCATACTAGCCGTATCTTTTTCCCAGGAGGAAATAGACTCTCTTTCCGACAGATTCTCTTTCGCTCTTATTGGATCTTTCCTCCAAGGTCAACCGAGGCTGACAGTTGTGAGAAAAACGTTTGAAAAATTTAGGTTCAAGGGTCGCTTCTCTCTGGGGAATCTAGCCCCAAACCACATCCTTATCAGGTTTGAGAGGGAGGACGATTTTCAAAGGTGCTGGTTTTATCAGACCTGTCTAATTTATGGCACTATTATGAGAATGACAAAATGGACAACCAACTTTACCCCAGGAATTGAATCACTGGTGATCCCTGTTTGGGTATCCTTCAATGGTTTACATGTGCATCTTCATAAACGAAGTGCTCTAATTTCCATTGGGGGGCTCATTGGAAAACCACTAAGGATTGACTCGACCACAGCAGCATTTCCTAGACCCTATGTAGCAAGGGTTTGTGTGGAATTGGATGTAATAGCTGAGAGAACCTACAAGATTTGGATCCAGAATGGGAAGTTTGGTTTCTACCAGGAAGTTACGTATGAAGATTCCCCCCATACTGTTTGAGCTACAATATTCTGGGTCATTCAACTTGCATTAAAGGTAAAAATCCAATCTCTACCTCACCCCATCCTGCTCCGGAACAAAGCCTGTCTTCCCTCACCCCCAACCCACTACCATTCCTATTTGCTCATCTTCGTCCAAGATAACACCCTCTAAACCACCAAATCATTCACCCCCAACCCTATCCCAACCCAAGAGTCACTCGAGATCCACCCCCCACTGGTCATTCCCACCACAGATCCCACACTCACCCCCTCAACCCCTGTAGAAAATACACAAGCTCCTATGCTAGATGACAACCAAACCACTGACCTAATCGGTAACCCGCCCATAGAGAGGATCCTTCAACCAGACCCTCTTACTACCCTTGTCCAAGCTACTCCTTGGCATTCTGGGGATCAATCCCACTCCCAGGATGAAGAATCCCACATTCATCTCATTCAACACCTTTCTGCTACAGACCCACCTCCTCCCTCGAACCCCCTGGATACAACACCTAATTTACCTACCACGCTCCCCTTTACTTGTTCCCACTCACTGGACAACATCTCAAACAAAGTAGTGTAACATCCCCAAATTTCCCACCCAAAAATACTTTGAAATAATTATTTATTCAATGGAAATATTAAACTTTATTTGAAGCATCAGAATTATGCAGCGGAATTTCAAAAGGGAAATAGGGACGTTACCGCCACACTCGATTCTAACCTAACCGAGTGCATTGGCTAAAACAATTCAAAACTCAAAATAAATTAAACTTTTAAAATAAATGTTCACTAATTAAAGATCGATATTGGAAAT